AGGCGCACAAGCCATGGGAATCACTCTCCGTGCCTAGTAAAATCTCCTGTAGGAAAAGTGCCGCGTGTTTATCAGCAGGTGGCGCTTTTGCTGCAAAGGGACGGACTAGCCCAGGGAAGAACCCCCTGCCCGCACATAGGTCGATGCCCTCCCAAAAGGGCTTTCGGAGCCAGGCCATTGGCTCCCATATCACGTGGCAAGTGCCAGTCTCTCAATTCCTGTGTGAGGAAACAAAGTCACCGCCGGCTTTATTCCTTCCAGGGGTCCAAAAGTGTCAGGATCGTCCCTGTGCCCGGCGCTGCACAGACACCCAGGCCGGATCAGTCTGACTCGGAGACCCAGAAAAAGTCAAGCCCAACCCCTCGAAGGAGCAGGGTGGGGCTCTTATGAACAACGGGATATGCAAATGAGGGAGTCAGCGTCCCGTTTAAATCTGTCCCTCCCTGTGCCCAGGCTGCACCAACAGGGACAACCCACAGCCCCCTGTGTCTGGGCAGTGACCAGCCAATCCTGCACCGACCCATAATCCGTCCTCAGAGAACTTTCCCCGCTAGCGCCAGGGAACATGAACTTTGTCATCCTGCTATGTTCCGCTGTAGCGGTGTGGAAAGGTATTTTCTTCTTCTGAATAACGGGAGGAGAAAATTAAGTTTCTCTGGAGTAGAGACCAATATTTATAACCGGTCTGTTTCCCCAGGTGCCCGGTCCCAGGTCCTGGTGGAGTCCGGAGGGGATGTGAAGAAGCTCGGAGACTCTCTGCGCCTCTCCTGCAAAGCCTCCGGCTTCACCTTCAGCAGTCCTTGGATGGTCTGGGTCCGGCAGGCTCCCGGCAAGGGGCTGGAGTGGGTCGCTTATATCAGTGGCAAGGGGGATGAAATAGATTACCTTAATGCCGTGAAAGGCCGATTCTCCATCTCCAGGGACAATCCCAGCAACCTCCTGCACCTGCAAATGACCCGCCTGAAGCCCGAGGACACCGCCCGCTATTACTGTGCGAGAGTCACAGCGACACGAAATCTATTGATACTCCTGCAAAAACCCAGGCTGCAGAACCCGCAGCCGCCACGCGGGGGCAGCAGAGACACGAACAACCGGGCGCAGGGCACAGAGCGGGGAACAAGTTTCTGGGGATGAAAGTCACACTCATTGGGGGATTGTAACCTTTTCGTTGCCTAGCAACGCCCCCGCTTGCGTCACGAGGTCCCGCTGGACCTGGGGGGCAGACATCGCTGGCTGCCTCATCCAGTCCACTTGAGGCGGGAGCCCTGTTCCCACGGCCCGGCTCGCCTTGCAGATCGGGCCCTTTCACTGGTGTAAATCGTGGTTAGTGGGACTCGTCCCCAAGTGGCTCCTTCGCTCTCCCCCACCCCCTCCCACGGACCCCGGCCCAGCAGCTTTTCGGAGGGGGCTTCTTGGCTTAGCTGGTTAAAACACCTGCCGTGGAAACGGGGAATCCTGGGCTCAACTCCCAGTGGTGCCCTGGGCCGTTGCTGTTCTCAGCTCCTGCTTTCTTATGTCCCTCTGGTTTGTTAAGGAAAAGGCTGATTGGGGGGAGCATTGGACAGAATGAACCCACGAGCCTGGAGCTGGTGAGGAGGCTGCTGGGACTGGCATTGACAAGGCAGATGCTCTGATTGCAAGTCCTGGGACAGGAGCCCCAGAGCCCCACGCCCTTGTGATGCCCTGGAGATGTCAACGCCCTGAGAGCGCAGCATCTGCCGATAGGGCAGCAATGGAGAGTTACTTTCCTCCACCCTCATTTTTATGGTCAATAGCAAAACGTGGAGCATTTCACACAGGCCTGGGCAAAACACCCTTGGCGGGCGGAATCCTCCCCCCCCCAACCACTGGGTCTGGCCCGCCAATGCAGCAGGGAGCTTCACAGACTCCCTGCTTGCCCAGCCCTGCAATCCGCTCGGAAAACCGGCTGCTGAGCACCAAAGGTGCCACCGGGTGCTACTGCCCCGGCGGGGGATCGGTCTGAGCTGAGACCAAACCTGCCCCCCAAAGGGCCAGGCGGCGGCGCCCTGGTTCTGCAACGAGACCAAATCCGAAGTGTCTCTCCGATCGCCCTGCTGGGCTGGGGTAGGACTTGATGACCTTCCTAGGGCCCTTCCGGTGCTAGCGCTCTAGGAATCTATGGTCCTATTTTTATTTGTATTGTCACTATTATTATCATGGGTATTATGGTAGGGCCTATTGTGTGGAACTCTGACCTGGCTCCATTTATGCAGCATCCAGCGCGCACGCGCACACACACATAGACAGCCGCTGCCTGAATGCGATACACATCAAATGGCTGAGAATGACAAAAGATGTAATTATTCATGTATAACAAATGGGGAAACTGAGGTACAAAGCAATTTAGTGACACACTGAAGGGCAAGCAGAGATTCCTCTGCCCAGACAGGACTTGAAACCAGATTCCCTGTGGGACAAGCCTTTGTCTTAGTCACAACATAACATTCTGCAAATAATTCCCATGGCCTATTCAAATGTAGTTGTGTTGAATTGATAGTTTTCAGTTACTAATCACTATAACCACCAGCTGTCCCTGATTTTGCTTCTAGGGCAACCCAGTGCCCAGAGATTGGAGATCAAAGGAGGTGCCCTATTGAGCATTAGCAGACACCTCGATTTTAAAATCGATGTGCACCGTGTGTGAACCGACCTTCTATTCCCGGTTTGCTTTTCCCAGGCACCAGAGTCTGGGCTTGTGGCTCTTTAGACATTGGCTCCCAGGCCAGTGCAAAGACACCAGCAGGCAGACTCCGGCAGCCCCCTGCAGTGCACGACTGTAGATTTAGCTGAACAAGAGCTCCCACTACAAAACTGGGGCCACACAGCTCAAGTGACCCTGGGACACACAAGGGAACATTTCTAAGTAGGAGAGAGGCGGTTGAATACTCTGCCCGGGTCTGGCTGCACAACTCAAGCCAGGGGCGGATAGCTTGGAGAAGATGCACACAGCAGCCATGAGGATCCTGGCAGTGGAAATCCTGCCCTATAATGATGGATGGAAAGAGTTGGAGCTCTACAGATCTGTGCTATGAGGCTGAGATTTTCAGAGACCTCTACAAAGTTTGTGATTCTTCTAGTTCCGATTCATTCTAGTGCAAACTGTCCCTCGGGCAGCATTGAAAATGTCAGCCTGACAGCTCAGGATTGTAGAAGCATTCCTATGGCAGATAGAGCTCCAGAGAGATACATGGGGCTGTGTGGGGCTGGGTGAAGGGAGAGTCACTGAGGCACCATGTCGATGTATTTATAGGTGGGTTTGCAAACAGACTCACATTCTACACCTGCTGCACATCAACCGGCAGCCCTCTGACCCCCGCTAAGTTTTTTCAGAGCCGCTTTCACCTCCTTGTTGCGCAGCGTGTAGATGGCCGGGTTCACCATGGGCGTGACCAGGTTGCCAAAAATGTTCACAGGGGTCACCAGCACTTTGCTCAGCTGTGGCTGAGTGTAGATCAAAGCGGAGGGCCCGAAGAACATGGTCACCACCACCAGATGGGAGGCGCAAGTGGAGGCCGCTTTGCGCCTCCCTTCACCTGTGTTCATCTTCAGGATGCAGGAGATGATCCTGATGTAGGAGGTGTGATGGCGCGTTGGGGGTCCCCTGTCTCCTGCACCCCGAAATGGCACCAACAGACCGCACCAGCCGGTGGAATAGAGGAAGTTTATTGCCTCTCCAGGATACAGCACAGCACAGATGTAATCTGGTCACAGAGCTGGGCTAGGATGCCTCAGGCCCCCTTGAGTTGGGGGGAGACTGGGCCCCTAAACTCCAGCTCCTCTCCCTAGGCTGTCTCCTCCATCCTCACAGACAGTGGCTCTGGGGTAACCCCCACTGCTGCCGTGGGTACCAGGACCCAGCAAAACAGGATGAGTCACTGCAAACCAGTATGGCCAGACACCCCCCATGGAGAGGAACAAAGGAAGGTGGAATGCTGCCCTGGCTGGGGGGCAGGGCTGGAAGAGGGTGAGTTAGTTGCTGGCTGGGAGCATGGAGGAGACAGCCTAGGGAAAGGGGCTGGAGTTTAGGGGCTCAGTCTTCCCCCACCTCAAGGGGGCCTGAGGCATCCTAGCCCAGCTCTGTGACCAGATTACATCTGTGCTGTACTGTATCCTGGAGAGGCAATAAACTTCCTCTATTCCACCGGCTGGTGCAGTCTGTTTGTGCCATTTCGGGGTGCAGGAGACGGGGGACCCCAATGCGCCGTCACCGCAGGGCCGGCTCTAAGTACCAGGAAAGCCCCCAGTTCCACTCCACTCATGCCTCTATCAAAAAATAAGGGGGGGGGATTTTTTGCTTGGGGTACCAAAAAACCTAGAGCCGGCCCTGCCTCCTTGCTGCCCCCAGCTTGTCTGTTCGGCTCAGTTTGAACATTTCCTCTCGTACAAAAGTCCTGGGGATGGGAACCGTGTTCGCGGCAGAGAGACGCTGTCCCGTGGCTCAGTGTTAGCAAGTGGCCAATGCCAAGGTGGGAGCCGATGGGAAGGTTCCCGGGGCTCAGAGCAGAGCCAAGGCAGGTGCAGACAACACGCTGAGGACTAGCGCCTCTACTGCCACGGTGGCTGCGGGAAATGCATCTGTCAGAGCCTCTGTCTCTGGCCTGAAGCTTTCTGTGGCCTGGACACTGGAAGGGCGGGGGGAGATGGGGAAGGGCCGCACTTCGGAAGCTGGAGGTTTCTCTGGCACCATAAAGAAGAGTATTTTAAAATTGTTTCTACGGGAGGGCGCCTTGGCTCAGCGCCTGTCTAGTAAACAAGAGATCCTGGTTCAGCTCCCAGTGGTGCCTCTCTGTGGCCTTCGCTCTTCTCCGTTCACCTTTTCTAATAACCTGCGAGGAAACAGAAGAGGCCTCCACTGGCCCCTCAAGTAATGGCTTGTCCAGGAAAAGGCTGATTGGAGAGGAGCATTGGGCAGAATGAACCCACGAGCCTGGAGCTGGTGAGGAGGCTGCTGGGACTGGCATTGACAAGGCAGATGCTCTGATTGCAAGTCCTGGGACAGGAGCCCCAGAGCCCCACGCCCTTGTGATGCCCTGGAGATGTCAACGCCCTGAGAGCGCAGCATCTGCCGATAGGGCAGCAATGGAGAGTTACTTTCCTCCACCCTCATTTTTATGGTCAATAGCAAAACGTGGAGCATTTCACACAGGCCTGGGCAAAACACCCTTGGCGGGCGGAATCCTCCCCCCCCCAGCCACTGGGTCTGGCCCGCCAATGCAGCAGGGAGCTTCACAGACTCCCTGCTTGCCCAGCCCTGCAATCCGCTCGGAAAACCGGCTCTCAAGCACCAAAGGTGCCACCGGGTGCTACTGCCCCGGACACACACCGGGCGGGGGATCGGTCTGAGCTGAGACAAAACCTGCCCCCCAAAGGGCCAGGCGGCGGCGCCCTGGTTCTGCAACGAGACCAAATCCAAAGTGTCTCTCCGATCGCCCCGCTGGGATGGGGTAAGACTTGATGACCTTTCTAGGGCCCTTCCGGTGCTAGTGTTCTAGGAATCTATGGTCCTATTTTTATTTGTAGTATCACTATTATTATCATGGGTATTATGGTAGGGCCTATTGTGTGGAAGTCTGACCTGGCTCCATTTATGCAGCATCCAGCGCGCGCGCACACACACACAGACAGCCGCTGCCTGAATGCGATACACATCGAATAGCTGAGAATGACAAAAGATGTAATTATTCATGTATAACAAATGGGGAAACTGAGGTACAAAGCAATTTAGTGACACACTGAAGGGCAAGCAGAGATTCCTCTGCCCAGACAGGACTTGAAACCAGATTCCCTGTGGGACAAGCCTTTGTCTTAGTCACAACATAACATTCTGCAAATAATTCCCATGGCCTAGTCAACTGTACTGGCGTTGAACAGATAGTTTTCAGTTACTAATCACTATAACCACCAGCTGTCCCTGATTTTGCTTCTAGGGCAACCCAGTGCCCAGAGATTGGAGATCAAAGGAGGTGCCCTATTGAGCATTAGCAGACACCTCGATTTTAAAATCGATGTGCACCGTGTGTGAACCGACCTTCTATTCCCGGTTTGCTTTTCCCAGGCACCAGAGTCTGGGCTTGTGGCTCTTTAGACATTGGCTCCCAGGCCAGTGCAAAGACACCAGCAGGCAGACTCCGGCAGCCCCCTGCAGTGCACGACTGTAGATTTAGCTGAACAAGAGCTCCCACTACAAAACTGGGGCCACACAGCTCAAGTGACCCTGGGACACACAAGGGAACATTTCTAAGTAGGAGAGAGGCGGTTGAATACTCTGCCCGGGTCTGGCTGCACAACTCAAGCCAGGGGCGGATAGCTTGGAGAAGATGCACACAGCAGCCATGAGGATCCTGGCAGTGGAAATCCTGCCCTATAATGATGGATGGAAAGAGTTGGAGCTCTACAGATCTGTGCTATGAGGCTGAGATTTTCAGAGACCTCTACAAAGTTTGTGATTCTTCTAGTTCCGATTCATTCTAGTGCAAACTGTCCCTCGGGCAGCATTGAAAATGTCAGCCTGACAGCTCAGGATTGTAGAAGCATTCCTATGGCAGATAGAGCTCCAGAGAGATACATGGGGCTGTGTGGGGCTGGGTGAAGGGAGAGTCACTGAGGCACCATGTCGATGTATTTATAGGTGGGTTTGCAAACAGACTCACATTCTACACCTGCTGCACATCAACCGGCAGCCCTCTGACCCCCGCTAAGTTTTTTCAGAGCCGCTTTCACCTCCTTGTTGCGCAGCGTGTAGATGGCCGGGTTCAGCATGGGCATGACCAGGTTGCTAAAAATGTTCACAGGGGTCACCAGCACTTTGCTCAGCTGTGGCTGGGTGCAGATCAAAGCGGAGGGCCCGAAGAACATGGTCACCACCACCAGATGGGAGGCGCAAGTGGAGGCCGCTTTGCGCCTCCCTTCACCTGTGTTCATCTTCAGGATGCAGGAGATGATCCTGATGTAGGAGGTGTGATGGCGCGTTGGGGGTCCCCTGTCTCCTGCACCCCGAAATGGCACCAACAGACCGCACCAGCCGGTGGAATAGAGGAAGTTTATTGCCTCTCCAGGATACAGCACAGCACAGATGTAATCTGGTCACAGAGCTGGGCTAGGATGCCTCAGGCCCCCTTGAGTTGGGGGGAGACTGGGCCCCTAAACTCCAGCTCCTCTCCCTAGGCTGTCTCCTCCATGCTCACAGACAGCCAGCCACCAACTAACTAACCCTCTTCCAGCCCTGCCCCCCAGCCAGGGCAGCATTCCACCTTCCTTTGTTCCTCTCCATGGGGGGTGTCTGGCCACTGGTTCAACAAGTTTGGCATTAGCTTTGCATAATGAGGTTTTCCCTGCTGGGTCTTGCTCCAGACAGCAGGGGTCACCACAGCCCAGCAAGTACCCCCACTACGTCACAGGAGGCGAGGATGAGGATGAAGCAACTCATAGACACCACCCCAATGTTGGTGAAGACCACGGTTTCCAAGATGGACGTGTCCGCACAGGCCAGTTTGGCCACGGGGAAGATGTCACAGAAGAAAGAGTCCACCATGTTGGACCCACAGTAGGGCAGCGTGAAGGTCAGGGTGGTGATGATGGTGGCGTGGAAGGAGCTGGCGATCCAACTGCCGGTGGCCAGGAGGGTGCACACCGGCCAGTTCATGATCAGCAGGTAGCGCAGCGGGTAGCAGATGGCCACGTACCGGTCAAAGGCCATGACGGTGAAGAGCAGGCACTCGGTGCTACCCAGGAAGTGAACAACGAAGACCTGGGCCATGCACCCGGCCAGTGAGATGGTTCTACTGTTGGCCCAGAGGCTGGCCAGCAATTTGGGGACGATGTTGAAAGAGATGCCAATGTCCAGCACGGAGAGGTTGCAGAGGAAGAAGTACATGGGGGTGTGCAGACGGGAGTCAGCAAGGACCACTGAGAAGATGAGCAGGTTGCCCAGCAGGGTGCAGAGGCAGAAGGCTAAGAAGGTGAACAAGAGGATGGTCTGGAGGCCTTCGGTGTTGGGGATCCCTATGAGGATGAAATGAGTCACCTGGGTGCGATTCACCAGCCCCATTTGGGTCTCCTTCCTGGGACAAAGAGAGAGAAATAGAGCCAGTAAGTTACAGAAACAAGAAGACTCGTCACCCTCTAGCTACAATGCTCCTTCCATGCACTGTCCCCAGGAATCTCTTTCCTTGTCCTTGTAATGCTAGTTGGGGGCAGGGCCTCACTGTGTGGGCACTGAGCAAGGTGAGAAAACAGAAGGGTGCCATGGATATCAGAGTCAAAAGAGTCCAGACAAAATGGATGTGGTGGTGTGTCGGGGTTCCCCCACCTCCTGCACCCCCGTACTGGCATGAACAAACTCCACCAGCCAGTAGAACAGAGGGAGTTTATTGCTTCTCCAGGATAGGGCACAGCACAGGTGTAATCCGGTTACAGGGCCAGACCTGGGATGCCTCAGCCCCCCTTGAGATGGGGGAGACTGGGCCCCTAAATCCCAGCCCCTTGCTTAGGCTGCCTCCTCCATGATTCCAGACAGAAACTAAACCTCTCTTCCAGCCCTGCCCCCCACTCAGGGGCTGGTCTCCCCCCGCCATCCTTTGTCTCTCCTTGGGAGGCTGAGCCTGGGTGTCTGGGTCAATACACACCTGAGAGAGTCAGTGAGAATCTCCCATCACAGCGCAGGGGGACCCCGGGTCACAGAGCAGACAGCACCCCCACTACGCCACAGTGGATTGCCCAATTCTATAAGAATCTCATGTGATCTGCTCTACACAGGTTTCTTCTCTTCTCTCTTTGTGCAATTACAATTTCTTGAGTCATGTTCTCTCTAAGCCTGTTCTCCACAGTCTTAAGGAGCCTTCTGTTTGTGGCTAACAGCTGGGGAGTGGTTCTCTCTCACCATCTCTTCAGAAACTGGAAGACAATGGCACCTTAAAGTGCATCCACATTGCACCCTACATTCAAAATAAGATACACAAATAGCTTATTTTGAAATGTAGCTCTTCTAAACTGTGCCACATTTCAAAATAACCTCCTGTTTTGAGACATCCCTTAAAGAATGCTGAAGTAGCACACCCGTTATTTCGAAATAATAGGTGACTTGTTGAGATGTGAGGTAGCTCTTTTGGATACCTGTGGTATCCCCAAATAGCCATGCAGTGTAGATGCACCACGGTTTTGGGGGTAAAAATCACTTTTTCAAATGCCTGCTGTCCCGTACACTGAAACAACGGTCACAGAAATACCAGCCTACACTGGAAACCTGACCTCTCTCCTTACCTGCATGCCTCTAGCTTCCCTCCAGGACACATCATATGACCTGTTGTCTACAGCCAAGCCCTAAGGTACAACAGCATCTTCTCCAATCCAATCTGTTTGACAATGAAAACACCCACACGGGCTGCATGTGTTTGATGAAGTGATTTTGCCTCAAAAGCTTATTCCCAAATAAATCGGCCGGACTTCAAGGTGCCTCAGGGCTCCTCATTTCTGCAGACACAGAGCAACAGAGCTGCCCCTCTGGGACCTCCCTGCAGAGGGCTGGCCCTGGTGCGCAGCGGAGGGATTGTTTAGGCCAGTGGCCACCAGCCAGTAGATTGGGATCTAGTTGTAGATCTTGGAGCCTCTGACAGGGGATCCTGACTGATTTGGCCCAGAGACTATCAAGTGCCGGCGCTTCAGCTGCCCCTCCCCCCACTGCTGCGCATCTCCTGCCCTTTGCCTTGGAGCTGCCTCCTCCCACAACCGGGAGCCTCCTGCTCGCTGTGCAGGGCAGGGGAGGGAGAGGAGGGCGCTGATGTCACGGTGCCCTGTCTCCCACCCTATATCCGATCTCCACAGCGCAGGGCGGGGGGCACAACAGGACTTGGAAGGGAGTTTGCTGACTGATTTTGGGAGTGGTGCAGGGCCAGGGCAGGGGTGAGGCTGCCTTAGACCCACTGCACCACCACCCGTGAGCCACCTGTGGTAAGCGGGACCCAACTGGAGCCAGCTCCAAACACCTGCCCCAGTCATGAAGCCCCTCCTGCACTTAGGCCTACCCAAGTCGTGAACCACCCCCCTGCACCCTAAGTCCCTGCTCTAGCCCTGAGCACCCCTGCATCCAAACACCCTCCCAGAGCCTGCACCTAGAACCCCTCTGACACCCCAACTGCCTGCCCCAAACTCAGCTCAGAGCCCCCCTCATACTCCAAATCCCTTAATCCAAGACTAGAGCCTGCACCCCAACCCTCTGCCCCAGCCTGGTGCAAGTGAGGGAGGATGGGGAAGGGATGGAGTGAGCAGGGATGTGGCCTCAGAGATGCAAAGTGATGAATGTGGGAAAGACGGGAGTCGTGGGGCTATTTTGGGGTTGGAGGGAGAAGGAAAAGGGGGCAGCTCAGCCAGGGGGACTGGATCCAGGGCTGCTGAGAGAGACGCTAAGTTAATGTGGTTCCCGTCATACACAGGTTCTCAGTTTGGTTCAGTATGTCTCAGCCCTCTCCCCCCACCCTCACTATAGACATTGTTCCAGGCACCACCACCCCCGCTCCAGCTTCTCATCTGCTTGGCTGCGGTCGGCAGGCTGGGCTGTGCAGATGTCACCCCGGATGGGAATTTTACAGTGAGATTTGAGGGGCGATGGTGAAGTGTCTGGTGGCGTTTCGCAGGGAGATTCCCCAGGCGGGAGCCAGGGCTGCAGGGCAGAGGCTGGTGGCAGGGTTATGGCCGACGAGGAGAGAGAGATCAGTGACACAGAGAAGCAGCCCAGAGGCAGGCGCTGCCCAGACAAGGGCAGGGGGCTGGGTGGATGGTTCTCTACAGGACACCCCTGGCTGACAAGCCCTGGGAGTGCGGCAGGGCCAGGCCACAGACAGGTGGAGACTGAGGGCAGCGCCAGTGGATCGGTACCAAAGCAGGCGCCTCACACTGGCTGCATGGGCAGAGGCGGTTCCAGCTGACTGGGATTCTTCCCTTCTTCTCCGGCCGGGACTCCTGTGGCCCCATCCAGCGTCTTCCCCAGCCCGGCCCAGCGTCCCTCTGCCACAGCAGCTGGGACCCACCCAGGACCCACCCTAATCCACTGCCAACCTGGCCAGGGCTGCCCCTGTGTCTCACCCCGTGCTGCTTCCGAGCCCAAAGCTTCCTACAGTCTCCTGGCTCTGCCTGGGCCTTAAATCCCCTCTGGGGCCCTCGGGACCAGCCTTGAACCCCACTGGGCTCCTGGCTGAGCCCTCGGCAGAGTCGCTAAGTAACAGAGTTTTGGCCTCGCTTTGGAGATGCCCAGACACCCCCGGGGCCAGGCACTCAGACCGGTAACTACTGTCCGGGCATGGAGCCAGCAGGGCCCGATCCCCAGCTCCACCCGGCTTGGATTCTGCTGTCAGCCCCCTGGCCTGACTCCTGGGGACTCAGCTGGGTTCACTGGGGCTGTTTCTGCCCACCCTGCACATGGGTGTGAGTCAGGAGAAACACCATTGGGACTGAAGGAACCGTGTAATTTTCCAGCAGAGGACGAAGCCATGAGATGCCTGTTCTACACCCTGCACTGTTTTGGGGGTTGGGACATTGATGCTCGTCTGGGCTCTGCCCTCCTGTGGCACAAGCCAGAAAATCCCCTCATGGGGTGAAATAGCAGGGAGCTGGGCCAGAGGGTGGGCTGGAGACTTCTGAGTCCAGCCGAGCTTTCCCCTGGGTGTGTCCGCCTGTTCCCCGGCCCCTCTCTGTGTGCACAGGGATGTGTTTGTGCAGCGGGGTGGGGACAGGTGGGGGTGACATCCCCCACTGTGCAGATGGAGAAACCATCCATCCCGTACAATATGGCACAGCCCTTGTGGCAGGACAGCAGAGATGCTGAATAGTGTAAAGAACTGAGCCATTTGGGGCAGGACAGCCGCCCCTCCCCCAACCTCCCCCAGCAGACCCTGACACTCTTGCTCTGAGCAGACACAGAGCGAGCCCGACCGGCCTTGCAGAGCTTGCTGTGTAAGTGACCCATTGGGGGAAGGGTTCTCCACCTCCACCCCATCTTCACTGGGAGAGACGTCGCTCCGCATCTTCCCGAGCCATGGGCGGGTTCTGTTCCCCTCCCCTTTGCACCGCCAGGATCCAGGAGCAAGGGCCCTTAGCGCGTTATGGCTGATTGGACTCAAGGAAACCTGCTCCCTCCCTAGCCAGGGCAGTGGGGTGGGCACAGGCCTCGCCAGACACCTGCACTGTGCACCTGAGCCCTGGGGTTGGCTCCATGGGGGGACGCCCTGAAATGGACACAAAGCCACAGACACCGCACAGAGGGAGGGGAGCGGGACAGGCCCCTACATTTGGGGGTTCCAGCAGTGAGCTCATCCAGCTGTTTGCTGGTGTCCCAGCTCTGCAGGTCTAATAAGGCCCCCAGAGATTTCCTTAATTGGTTTCTTTCTCTGCCCTTCCCTGGTGGGCACCTCGCTTGGGAGCTGGGATGCGGGGGCAGACGTGGTGATGAATCTCTGTCGATGTGTTATCCCCAGCCCCGGCCTAGCACCCCATGGGGTTAAAGGGGCCTTGGGATTAATTAAAACTTTGCCATTGCTAACGAGTCCCCGGGCTGGAACTCACTGTGCTGGGTACCAGGGCCAGACGTGACACTCGGCTGGCAGCAGCTGAGTTCTGTGGGTCGTTGGTATGAGTGTCAGAGCTGGACTGAACTGGATGATTTGCTTCATTAATGATTTAGAGCAGGGTTCTTAACCTGGGGTGCACCGCCCCCTGGGGGTAGGACACTGATGGCGCGTGCAGCCCCGTAACAAGCAGCCGGTAGAGTAGAGAGGAGGGTTTATTGCTTCTCCAGGACACAGCACAGCACAGACCTAATGTGGTTACAGGAGTCAGGGCCAGGATGCCTCAGACCCTTTGAGCAGGGAATCCATCCTCCTCCCCTCTCCTCCCCCCGCCCTTAAATCCTCTGCCCTCTGCTCAGGCTGTTCCCCGCAGGTTTCCCAGCCAGCAACTGCCTGGCTCCCAGACCCTGCCCCCAAACCAGGTGTTCGTCTCTGCCTCCCTCCCCCTGGGAAGAGCCTTGTTATCTGGTTAGGCTGGGCCAGGGTGTCTGGGCTAATACACGTGTGGGTGAGTCATTGGGAATCACACAGCACAGCGCAGGGGGACACCGGGTTACAGAGCAGACAGCCCCCCACTCCCTCACAGAGACATGCCAGATTTGTGTGATGTATTTTAGTTTTAAAGAACTGACCTACTTTAAATCTAGGATAAGGGGTGCAGGGTGCAGTAAGGTTAAAACCACTGATTTAGAGAATGGCGGAGAGAGGGCGCTGATAAAGCCTGCAGAGGAGATCAGAGGGGAGGGCTCGCGAGTGCTTTGGAGCAGAGGACTGTACTTCAGAACGAACAATGGTCAGAAGTAAAGAGGATGAAAATCAATAAGGACAAAGGCAAAGTGCGGCCCTTAGGAGGGAACCATCCAGCCCCCACACAGAAGGGAAATGTTCCCGAGGCAGGGGCGCTGCCCAAGGGGCCCCTAGTGACCCGTCAGTCAAACAGAAGCCGACAGCCTGTCACTGTTACCCACAAAGCAAACATTTCTCAGGAGTGCTGTGAGCGAGACAGGAGCAGTCAGTGATTATTTCACTCTTCTCTGCGCTGACCAGGCCTCACCGGGAGCGTTGTGTCCAGTTCTGGGCACTACGTGTCGGGATCGCTGTGGATAAAATAGAAAAAGTCCAGAGAAGAGCAACACAGATGATCAGAAGTCTAGAAAACGGGACCAGATGTTGCCTCCTCTCCCCATGCCCCAGCCCCTCCCCTTTTACCAAGGCAGGGCCGGGCTCTGGTGCCCAACACCAGCCTCCCACCCCACCCCCTGCAGCCCGGGCTGCTTCCCTGCCCTACGATCCCCGGAGAACCTCGATGGGAGCGACCCTGCATCACAATTCTGGTTTTTAGTTTCTTTCCCAGCACATTCTGGAGCTGCCCCTACTCCAGGGATGTTTCAATGGGGTTGGGTCACACCCTGCGGTATGAAGGGGCGTGTCTCTGTGCCACCCGCCCGGCAGCCCTCCCTGGCCACTGGGTTCCCCTCTAGTCCATCCCCATTGCGTGAAACCGTCGGTCCCATCCCGGCCCCAGTCCAGAGCCCGGAGCATGGCGCCTCTTCTGTCCCCTCAGCCACCTCTTGTCATTATAGCTGAGCGGAGCGCCCGGCCTCTCTGGGGTAAAAGGGGACACCTGCTCCCCAGGGAACATCGCCATGTGCTGAGCGCTCATCCCCTGCCACCCCCTTTACTCGCCCTGGGGAACCCGCATGCAAATCCCTGCCCGGGGCTGCCTAGTTAAATACCAGCCCCTGGTTCCAGGAGCCTCAGTCTCTGCCCAGACACAGACCTGCCCGGCCCTGCCTGCTGGGGAGTTTCCCTCAGTGCCCGGAACGAGAATGGAACCTCTGCTGCTTTTCCTCGCCCTGCTCGCCGCCCCCCGCTGTGAGTGTCCGTGGGGCAGAGAGGAACTAGGAACAGAGCCCTGGATTGGTTCGGGAGTTAATGTTGACTTTGCTTGTTTTCTCCCTTCCCAGGTGCCCTCGCTCAGGTGCAGCTGGTCCAGTCCGGCCCCGGGGCGGTGAAGCCCGGAGAGACCCTCACCCTGAGCTGCGCTGTCTCTGGAGATACTCTGGATAGTGGCGCTGGTTGGAGCTGGATCAGGCAGCCTGCAGGGAAGGGGCTGGAGTGGATGGGGTGGGTGTACTATGACAGTGACAACGGGGACTGGGAAACACAATATGCCCCATCTCTCCAAGCCCGAGTCACCATCTCTGCAGACACCGCCAAGAACCAGTTCTCGCTGCAGCTCCGCTCGCTGACAGCTGCAGACACCGGCACCTATTACTGCGCCGGAGACACAGTGACACGGCTCCCAGCGGGACTCGTACAAAAAGGGGAAGCGGCTTCTCCCCAGCGCAGGGAGCCGGTGAGAACGGACAGAGCCGAGAAACCCCCATTAACATCCACGGGAATGGAAGGGAAATGCCAAGGAGGGGAGGCGGAGGAACGGGAGGGAAATTCTCACACAGATTTGGGGCAAGGGAACGCCCCCAGGAGCGTTAGTGACACGCACCAGCCCCTGCCCAGGGAAACCGAACAGCTGCTCTCCCAAGGGCTTTGCAGGCAGCGACACGGGGCGGAGCCGGGGCACCCACAGAAAGGGGATTTCCCAGCGCCCGGAGACCTACTAAGGCTGCGGATCTGTGGGGGGATTCCCGTTCACCTCCCCTGCCCGGGAGGTCGCGTCCCAGGCTGGGATCCCCTTGTGCAGACTCAGCTCCCACCCTGGCCCCTTTTCCATTCATGCCTCAGTCTCCCCCCGACACAGACCTGCCCGGGCCTGGCTGCTGGGCTCAGTTTGCACCTTCACTGAGGATGAACCTGCTGCTGATTTTCCTCTTCCTCGTGGAGCCTCCTTCAACTACGATGCTTTTGGGGATCTGGAGGGGTCGCTGCTGTTCTAGGAGCTGTTCTAGGCAGCCTAAGGCAACGAGGTGCCCTTATCTCAATGGAATTCAATGGCAGTTGGGTGCTTCCGTCCCTTAGGCCCTTTTTGGGGTGTTGCATTTTCACATGGTCCCGGCATCCAGGGGACAGGGCCTGGCTCTCTCCGTCATTTCCGTGTTTCCCTCCCAGGGGTCCTCTCCCAAGTGCAGCTGAAGGAAACGGGCCCGGGAGCGGCGAAGCCCGGGGAGTCCTTGACAGTCACTTGCACCATCTCCGGAAATTCGGTTTCCAGCACCGCCAGCGCCGCCTGGGGCTGGGTCCGGCAGCCGGGGGGAAGGGGTGGACTGGGGGGGGTGCAAGTGGTACAGACCGAGCAGCTGGAACACGAACTCCGCCCCCTCCCTCCAAGGCGGAGTCACCGTCTCTGCAGACACCGCCAGGAGCCAGGTCTCGCTGCAGCTCCGCTCGCTGACAGCTGCAGACAGCGCCCCCTAGTGCTGCCCCGGACACACAGTGACAGGGCAGAGCCGGGCCTGCACTAAGGAGGGAGGCGGGTTTTCAACAGTGCGGGGACACTGGGGACTGGGCCATTGGTCACACTGGGGGCGGGGCTCTGGCTGTGACTCTCCATTGCCTTTATTCGGGATTGTTGCTCTCAAAGCTCCAGTGTATCTGCCTGGCTCAGGGCCCAGCCGGCCTGACGGGCCCATGAGTATGGCCCAGCTCAGAGACCCGTGAAAGTTCCTGGTCCCCTCCCAGCCAGACAAGGCACCGCCTCTGGGCCCCTCTTCTTCACACTGACACAAACAAGTCACGTGTCGCCACCCAGAAGGGGAAAGTCCTCGCCCTCTGCCTTGTGCAGGCTGGTTCGGTCCAACCATCCCTATCCCCTCCCTGCTACCGTCCCCTGAGCGGTACGAGGGGCCGGGGTTTCCTTGCGTCTTCTCCAGCGGGTGCGGTTCCGCCAGGACCTTGTATCGGGGTGTTCTGGCACCAGCGCACCTATGGGAGTTGGGCGCCTGGGTGCTTCAGATAAGACCCAGGCGCCTTGCTCCGGGCGACACAGGAAGTCTGGGCCAGAGCAAGGAATCGAGCCTGGCCTTGCAGGGTAACAAGTGAGCGCCCTGCCCGCTGAGTGATCCTGGCTCGCTCCCTTCTGCATCTCTGCGGAGGTGAATTGGGCTCGTTCAGTGAGAAGGTTTTATGTGTCGCAGGGAGGGGATATGCAAATAAGGGAGTGAGTTTCCTGTTTAAATCTGTCCCCCCTTTTGCCCAGAGTGAACCCGCAAGAACAATCCGTAGCCCCCT